AAGAAGAAGACTTAGGGGAGTGGGGAGGACTCTTAATAATACACTCAGAGAAATTAGAGAAAGCATTGCATTGATGAAACCAAAGCAAGATGCTATAAAGAGAAACACTCAGAGAACAGCAAAAACCAAACCAAACCAACCAAACCAAAACAAAACAAAAAACCTCCTGGAAAATAAAAACATGGTAGCAGAAAGGAAAAACTTACTGGAAACTTGAGGAGATAAAGAAACTTTCTAGAAAGCAGGACAGAAGTGAAAATTAGGAGAGAATAACAAAAACAGAAATTTAGAGGACCAGTCCAGGAGGTCCATGCTTAATAACAGAAAAGAGGACAGAGAAAAATGGAGGGAAGGAAATTAGCAGCAATTTTTTAAATATTGAAATTAAATTCGAAAGGACTGACTGCCTACCATAATGGATAAAACCAGAATCTTTCTAAAGCACATCATTGTGAAATATCAAACATGTGACAAGAAAAGATTCTTACAATCTTCTAGAAGGGAGGAGGGAATATATTATATACAAAGGATTAAAATTGAAATGACCTCAGGCCTCTCAAGAGTAACCCTGGAAGCCAGAAGGCCAATGGGTAATGCTTTCAGAATTTTAAAGGAAAATTATTTCCAAACTACAATTTTGTACCAGACCAAATCACCAATTCAGATGACAGTAGAAAAAATGATATTTTGTACATGAGAGGTCTCAAAAAAAAAATTTACCTTCCACTCACTTTTCTCAGGAAGCTGCTGGAGAATGTGCTCCATCAAAACAAAGGAGTAAGCTAAGAAGGATGCAAAAAATGGAAGGAGAACAAAGGACAGCTGCAGCTGCGAAGGGCTAATGTTGGAGGGGATCCCAGGATGCTCTCAGAGCATCTCAGATGCTGGTTTACCTTGGGTCGGAGCAGGGCAGAAGGCTTCAGGAAAGACTTCCTGAGAGGAGATAATTTGAGATAAATACAGAGAAAACTAAGGCGGTAAGCAAGTAAAGGGTAATTATTAACTCCGTGGAAAACAAAAATTATTCAAGAAAGTAATCTTAGGTTACTACTGTGATTGCATAGTGTCTGCTCTGGGACAGAACCATTTTGTATGACGGGATTCACAGTCTCTAGGAAGAAACCTCCAGCATCTTGATGAAAATCTTTTTTTTTTTTTTTTTTTTTAAAGGTTTTATTTATTTATTTGAGAGAGAGAGAATGAGAGAGAGCGAGCACATGAGAGGGGGGAGGGTCAGAGGGAGAAGCAGACTCCCCGCCGAGCAGGGAGCCCGATGCGGGACTCGATCCCGGGACTCCAGGATCATGACCTGAGCTGAAGGCAGCTGCCCAACCAACTGAGCCACCCAGGCGCCCTTGATGAAAATCTTGTACTTGAAAAAGAGAAAACCCAAAGAACTGTGACGTGATTAAGACCTTCTGGAACACCAGGTCCTCACACAGCTAGCTGTCAGCCCGGGACTGAGCAATTTCTTTAACCAAATACTCTTTTGTTTTTGTGTTGTTAGGGAATTAAAAATCTACACAAAACATCAAAAAGAAAGAAAGCAGTGTTATTATTGAATGAACATAAACTGGAGCATGGACATGGTTGATCATTTGCAAAGAGAATATAAAGATAGAAAGAAATTCTATCCTATTTAAGCAGCCAAGAAGTTATAATCCTTTTTCGCTGCTCTACTTTTAGCCATTATGTCCATACAAGAAAACTTAACAGCACCATTTGCTGTATATTCTTCAGTAGTTTACCCTAAATTCACCTTTATCAAAAGAAGTAATAAAAATCTTATATCTATGACAAGCAGATGCCTAGAGGCTAAACTATCACAGTGACAGGAGCATAGATAAGCCATCTTCCTAGATGTTTACATTTCAAAGAGATGGCTCTTAGACCTCTTAAAAAAAATTTCCGAGTTATAAAGGTGATAAAAGGCTAACTCAGGAAGAGGTTTAAAAAAGGTGCGTACACACACACCCACACACACACCTTCATTTATATATATTCTTCACTGGTTGGGACCATCCTACCCAGGGTAAACTGCAAAATGTTTAGCATCCTTTTGCTTTACCAGAAATCACCAGTAACGTCCAATCCCCCCTCCCTCTCTCCACCCCAAGGATTGTGGCAATAACAAAACAAAGGGTGTGAGGAGGCGGGAGGGAAAGAGGAAAACACCCTCACACATTTTCAAATACCTCCCACAAAGGATAATGCCAGGCTGAGGTGACCAACTCATCTGGATTTGCCTGGGACCTTTCCCCTTCAACTTTCTCGTTTTTAGCCCTGATGGTTGACACCCTAACACCCCACCACACAGACAGACACACACACACCATACATATTAATAATCATCTAATTACAGGGGGGCTTGGGTAGCTCAGTCAGTTAAGCATTTGACAATCTTGATTTCAGCTCAGGTCCGTGATCTCAGGGTCGAGGGATTGAGCCCCATGTAGGGCTCCAAGCTGAGTGCAGAGTCTGCTTGAGATTCTCTCATTCCTTCTCCCTCTGCTCCTACTTCCCCTACTTGTTCTCTCTCTCTCTCTCAAATAAATAAATAATCTTTAAAAACTATAATCATCTAATTATGTGCATGTGTCAGGGAAAAATAAAAAGGTTTTAAATGGAAGAAACCTGGGCTTGGATTCTGATTCTGTGACTAAGGCAAGGGCCAAAACATTTCCGGTCACAGTTCTTTCTGTTCAATTGAAATAAAAATGGTGTATCCTGTCAGGGCCAGTGTGAGAATTCAGCACCTAATGAACAGCCTAACCACTTGTTTGAATTCAGGCCTCAGTTCTTCACCAGAGTTCCCACGTCAATTTTTATTTATCTCTTCTTCAGAGAAATTCTTATTTGTCCCAAGTGTTAGTATATCTGTATCCCAACTAGAAGAGGAGCCTTTGTGAGCACGGATTTCCCCTTCACAGTTTTTAGTACAGTGGTTGGCAGATAGAAGGTTTTGTTCTACAAATAAGGATTTGTTAATGGCTATATAATTAATACCTTATACTTTTACCAACCTCTTACGCAGTTGTGCCTTTTCCAGAGCTCCTATTGTCATATCATGGTGCTCCTTGTGGGCTTTCTTGGGCTGGATCTTTCCTTGGGAGAGACTCTATCAGCATGTACACAAGTTACCCCCACTTCCTGGGCCTGCAGGTCCGTGGTGGGGGCTGCTTGAGGCTGTCCCCTGGGAGTCTGACTTCAGGAAGACTTTATTCACCCAAGTGTTTCCCCTGTGGGCCCATCACGAATGCCTTGCAGTCTCTTTTCCTTGTGCCAGTGAAATGTGCATCCCCAAAGACAGTGTATTCATGAGGTTTCCCTCATCATGTTTCCGTGGTGGGAATTCCTTAACTGCATTCAGCTTTGAGAGGAGGTCTTGGAAAGCAGTGGGTGGGGAGATGAGGAAGGAAGTCAAGGGCACCAAAGGTCATGAGCAGGTAGGTTCCACGGGCCCCTGATGCAGAAGATGAGGACCTCACTCTGCTACCTGAGGCAGGCCCTGAGTCTGTACCTTGTGCACACATGTGGTTGGCTATGATCTCCAACTAAATTGTGTGATTTAACAGTTTCTGAGGCCACTAACTCTGATATAGTGCTTCATGTAGTGCTGAGCACACAGTAGTTGCTTAAAAACACTTCTGCTTCAAATGATGACAGTGGTTCTAAAATGACACCCTGAAGAATGTTGACATTCTACAGTTGGTAGGATGGGACACTCATTACATTGATAGAACACACAGCCCCTTGAATTAAATAATTTACTGGTATAGAGCTGGTCAACGTCCTTGAGGGCAATTCTGATTGATGAAGCACTATCCTATGCCCTGGCTCTGTTAGTCTTAAGTACCCCAAACCAGGGAATAATTCAGCTGAGTTGGGGGACTATAGGTGCAGGAGAAGGTTCTGTGGCCCAGGGTCCAAGAAAGGAGGAGGTAAAATTAGATGACAGAGAGTCTGTCCTAGGGCAAAACTAATGCTGTAGAGTTAACAAGTGACTCTCCAGGGCACCTGGGTGGCTCAGTAGGTTAAGCGTCTGCCTTCGGCTCAGGTCATGATCCCAGGGTCCTGGGATCGAGCCCCTCATCGGGCTCCCTGCTCAGTGGGGAGCCTGCTTCTCCCTCTGCCACTCCCCCTGCTTATGTTTTTTTCTCTCTCTCAAATAAATAAAATCTTTAAAAAATATAAACAAGTGACTCTCCTGAAACTTTCCACCCAGCAGATGGGGCTAGCCACCATCTCACCCTTTTTCTCATCAGTAGTTTTCATTGAGGGGCGCCTGGGTGGCTCATTCAGTTTAGTGTCTGCCTTCGGCTCAGGTCATGGTCCCGGGGTCCTGGGATGGAGCACACCCTCTGGCCAGTGTGGGGAATCCCTGCTCAGCTGGGAATCTGCTTCTCCCTCTCCCTCTACCCCTCCCCTCACCCATGCTCTCTCTCTCTCTCTTTTAGCTCACTCTCTGTCTGAAATAAATAAGTACAATCTTAAACAAAAGTTTTCAATTAAAATTTGAAACTATGATTTTTATCAAAGAAATCAGTGATGGAGTTTGCCAGATAAAATATCAGGTACCCAGATAAATGTGAATTTCAGATAAACTGTGAATAATTTTTTAGGATGAATGTGTTCTAAAAATTGCATGGGACTTACACAAAAAAATCATTCATCATTTACCTGGAATACAAATTTAACTGGGCTTCCTGTATTTTTATTTGCTCAATATGGCAATGCCAGTCAATGAGCTATAGGATTAATTTCATGGAAATACACATTACAGCTAACTTCCATGGAAATACCTTTAAGGAGACACAGCTCTTCATTTACACACTCACCACACCACAAAATGCAGACAATTCCTCCTTTAATGTGCTTCACGTTATTTTGATGACCTTCAGGTCAAATTCAGATTCAGTTACAAGCCCCATTGGCTAGTTTTATCTGTGTAATAGTTGAGGTCTTCTATGTGATAATGACCTCGGGTTTGTTCTGAAGTGTTAGAAGCCATGTCTCTTGAAGTATTTGGCTCGTGCAAGGACATCATTGCAGAAGTCACAGCTCAGGTCCTGGCTGTTTCTGATGTAGCCGGGAGCTCCAGCATAAGCACAGAGTCCACCTGGAATTTGTGAGACGGGTTAATGCTGACCTTATGGCCCCTCGTTGCTTCCGGGTCTCAGCAGTTAACTTAGATTCTCTTTCCTAATTGCTCATCAGGAGGCAACTGAGGTTTGGGGGGATCTCGTGCAAGGTCTTACATTTGTTCTTATTAATTCCATGCTGTGAAACCACCAACCTATGGGTTACACCTACCTCTCAGGTACTGGTCAGAGGTCCAGGTTGGAAACCTCCTCTGGATTTCTTTGATCCTAACAGTCAGGACCTCGGTTATCTGAGAAACCTGGGACTCGCTGATCCAGGATGTGGGAGCATAAAGACCAGGGTCCTGGAGGGAGGGAGGCAGAGGAAAAGCTAGGTAAGCCATGTGGGAGGGTGACAGGACTTCATGGGACCAGTGCTGCTTTCTCATTTCCCTCCTTTTTCTCTCCTCCTCCTTTGGCAGAACTAATGCCACCTCTAATCTCCCTGCGGATAAACAGTAAAGCTACAAGGTTTGGGCAAAGGAAGGATGATCAGACATTTCGCAGCTGCTTCATTGTAATGGTGAAAGGCAGAGTTGGAAGCCGAAGGTGACAGAGGTAGTGGATGTACCAGTCCGATGCCCTCCTTCAATGCTGCAAACACAAGCCTTCCAAATAGGTCAGAAGGGGTTTTTCTATCTGCACTTGTAATTCTCCTTCAGATATCTGAATGTCTAAATGTACTTCTGATTTTTCTTATATACCTTTGGTTACCGTTCCATATGAGTTTCAACATATTTAGGAGAAATGTCTGACTCTGGAGAATTCTTTCATCTTCAAAGTAGATAGACAATGCATCCTTTTCCCAAGAACAAGAGTTTATGAAGGAGTCAGAGCAGGTTATCGGAAGTGATGCTGACCCTAACATCGCCCATATTGCTCTTGGTCCCGGTTCTGCATTTTCCAGCTGCCATGTGACTTTGCAGCAATGACCCTCTCCTTGTAAAACCACTTCCTCACTTGGAAAGGATGGATTACATGCCTTCCCCCTCACCCCATCCTCATCAGATTATTGGATGGGCCCCCAAATCAAAATAAGATAGAGTATTTGAAAGTACTTTTAAATTGCAAAGTGTCATCCCAAGTACTAATGGGAAGCCAGTTTAAAGATCACTGAAGAATACATTTTCCTAAAAGCTTAAGAAATGACTGTACTACGTAAAGGCTTCTCAACTACGACAACAATGTGAAATGCAATAGAAAAAAATCACAGCGCCATTGTCTCCTTGCCATCACTGATTACCCCAGTACACAATTAATTCAACTGTGGGGTCAATGCCCAGTTCCCGGGGAGACTCTATGAGACAAGTGAAACCAGGCAGAATTTGTGCAAAAATAAAACTGGATCTTCAGAACTAAGGATTGTGTAGAAAGAAGACCAAGGAGAAGGAATTCAGTATTTACTAAGAATCTGCCAGAAACTAAGCACGTTTTCACATCGTTGCATTGAGTCTTCATAACAATTCTAGGAGGCTGGTGTTTTATAGGTGAGGAAACTGAGTCCTAGGGAGATTAAATGAGGTCACGTGGTTGCAAAATAACAGAGCAAGGATCCAGAATAGGGTACCATGGATGATATCCTGGAAACACAGCACAGTTGGTTCTGCAAAGAAACCATGGCTCACAATGAAGCAGTGATGTTGCTACTGGTATTAGGCAGAGCTGTGGCTGTCACAGCTCTAGGAAGCACCTTTCAGTCTGTGTCCCATAGAGCTGTGCTCCAGGGTGTCAACAACAACAAATGTGAAGATGTCCCCTTAGCGTTGTGCCATGCGGTACAACGGCCATATGCCGTAACTGACGGAGGGTTACCTGCACAACCCCAATGCCATCGCCCATGTTGCCCACATTGACCATAACGTTGCCGCCATGAGACCCCCTGGACAAGACTCCAGCAATCACTGCAGGATCCACACAGTATTTTTGGCCGACGGTATGAATCACAGGCTGGTATCTCAGGAGGTATGGCATGTCTATTTCAGCCAGCCTTTCAGAAGCACGAACTCCTAATGCAAACACAGAAGGAAGGATGTGGCTGCTGTGACTTATGCTGACATGAGAGCTCAAGAGGAGAGAAATCACACTCCAAGGCTCTGGGCAGTAGTCTAGGACCAAGAAGCCCATGTCTCATTCTGAAATCCCTAGTGGCCATTCCTAGACCCGAGAGTATGATTCTCCTCCTTTAAGCTTGAGTTGGCATCCACAGAGGCAATGTCCTTTGTGGCTGCCAGTGCCCCTCGCTGGTCTCTCAGGGGCTGCTCTGGCCCATGCAGGACAATTCCCTGGGTGCAGCACATTGGCCCCATCCTAAGCACCCCAACAGTGACCCAGTAAAATGTACCTGTCCATCAGCCACAACGAGCACCATATACAAAAGAGAGATTCTCCCAACCCCTTCAAGAAGTCCTTGGAGAGTTTCCCTGACAGATTTGCTCACTCTTGCCCACCTTTCCACCCTAAAGTGACACCTAGAAATTGCATGAGCTTAAACTTTTGTAAAAAAAACAAGGAATGCTAGACGAACCATGAGAGACGATGGACTCTGAAAAACAAACAGGGTTCTAGAGGGGAGGGGGGTGGGAGGATGGGTTAGCCTGGTGGTGGGTATTGAGGAGGGCACATTCTGCATGGAGCACTGGGTGTTGTGCACAAACAATGAATCATGGAACACTTCATCTAAAACTAATGTTGTAATGTATGGGGATTAACATAAGAATAAAAAAATGAAAAAAAAAAAAAAAACCAAGGAATGCTGGGCAAAAGGAAAACCAATACTAATTTACCTGGCTAGCTCACTTACCTTGTAAGTATTTTTTGTGTTACAAAAACACTCTCATCCACATTCTATCAACCAGAGTTTACAACAAAATTGTAAAATGAGTACTTTTAACACCTTTCAGTGGAGGCAGAGGAGAACTAAGTGACTTGTTGAAGAACCAGAGCCCACACTCAGACAAGGTCTTTGGACTCCATGTCTAGTGCTCTTCCTGTCACTTGGTAGTGTAGGGCTGTGGGAAATAGTGGGAACCAAAAGGATACATTGAGAGGATCAAAATTTGTGAGGAAGGACAGGGAGACATGGGTGTGGGGTATCAAGGGAAGGGATAAAATCCTGTTAAAGCCACACTTGCCAAAAGGAGGCACCTTCTAAGAGAAAGAGGAGGAGGGGAGGTGGACAATGAGATCATAACCTACCACAGTAGTTCAGGCCATGACGCTTTCCAATCCCACAAGAAGCCCCAGGGGTCTCAAAGTTTCGGATATTTCCATAGCATCCCCAGTTGCTGCTTTCAGAGGAATCTACAAATTGAGAAATTTTCAGCCTAAGGCATTACACTAGAAGAGTTTTGATCATCTTCTGTCCACAAATGAAGCGCCATTAATAAAAAGAATTTTGCCCAAATCAATAACAACAAGAACTTCACTCTGAACTGAAACACTTGAAATTTACAGTATAGTGACTCAGAAATGATCGTAGAAACCTCTTCGATACTGAATTGTCACCTCCTATCCTGCAGGCACGAGCAACTGTCGGAGCAGCTATACTCCTTGCAAAGCGCTAGGCTGTCCAGTGCTGTTGAGTTGGCCTTGGAATCAAACCAGAGGATCTGCTCCCTGTAACTAGTCTTCATCCTACATCTTAGGTGAATTCTCAATACTTCTCCTGCAAATATTCCTGCCTGACTGGTCTGATGAGATATTTATGGTTGCTCTTGAGAAACATGTATAAAGCCTAGGCTTCCCTGGGGTCTCAAGCCAGACCCAAAGTAAAGGCACTGGGACTTGGAGCTGGCTTTCCCTGGTGTTCTGGATGGTGTGCTCTTCTAGATGGGGGTGCCTAAGACAGCAAAGAGAGGACATGTAATGGGGCACAAGACCAGGTCTCCACCGGGGGGCTCCCTCTTTCCATGTCTTCCTTTTTGGTCTTTTGCCTTTCCATCTCTCTCTCTCTTTACCTACTGCTATCCTTCCAGGGAGGAGAGGTTTTTCACAAAGGCCGCTGAAAAGAAGGGCATTCCCTAGTATTCATAATTCACAGCAGAAGGACACATAAGCAGTAACAAGATTACCTACAGGGGACAGGAAGTTGCCCCCTGAGAAAATCATCTCACTGTGATAAGCCTGTAAGGACTTCTCATTAGATTACTATTTTTTATTTGCTTTATTCTTTGCTCATATCATCAAATCTTAATGGTTTGCAAGTCTTTGGCAACAAATCCATTGCACATCATCATATGTGTATTATATGTTTATATAAATGCCTTTTAAGGTTCTATTTTCTTACTAAGAGCTTCTTAGAGTTGACATCTGAAAATATTAATATTTTGGAGTAAATGCTTCTACTTTACAAACTTTTGATAAGAAATCTGAAAGAAATGTGCAGATGAAAAGACCTGGTCTTTTACGAGTGTACCAAAAATTAAACGAGCCAATTTGTCCTTTTTCATTTTTTAATCAGTACACGTTTATCTTTATAACTGGTGACAAATACCATTAATATTGTAATGGGTTGTGTCATTCATTGCTTCCTGCCTCGTAGCCACTCCCTCGTCACATTAGATGCTCCTTAAAGTTCCTTATGTTCCCAAAATATCTTCTAGAAATTTAAAGTACTTGTTAAATAAATGGATCAATCAATAAATGAATGAATATAAGACCCCCTCTGAAAAATCATCAGAATTTAGAGCCAAGAAAAAGTTTGCTTCTCCTGAGGAACTATGCTTCCTCCTTTTATTTATCAAAAAACATGTACTTTCCTTTTTGGTCTGCAAGGAACCTTAAGACCAAATCCAAAATGCAAGCATAGCAACTATGTCAGCCTCAGTGGTTAGTTTAGTCACATGTCCTTGATCCCCTCCATGCTAGTTTTCTATTTGAAATTACATTAGTCTTATTATCGTAAACCATCTCAATCCTTCTATGGAAATACGTGATCTATTAATAACTTCAATAACTTTGGTGAGATGGTTTTTATAGAGGAACAATGAGTACTTATCAATGATGTTATTTAAAGTCCAGCCTCCAGCAATGTTGGTTTAAGCCCACTCCACATTCTGGAGAGCCCCCTCCTTTTGTGGGGCATCTGGAAAGAGGCCATTCGTCAGTGGTTGTTACTAAGTCCATTATTTATTGGACAACTTAGAAGAAAAACAACATTTTCTACCTCAGTTTCAAGTATCAGAAATACCATTCTGTTCCTATGCTTATCCTTCCCATCTCCAAGGTCATATGGGACAAATTAAACACACTCACCAGTAAGGGCAAGAAGACCCAGAAGCAGCCATAGCACAGACATATTGATGAGCTGGCTCTACAGGTCCTAAAATGATTTTAGAATAGAAATTAGATCAAAGATGTGAAAATATCCATTATCATCATAACAATATGTAATGTTTCTATGGAAAAAGGCAAAAAAAAAAAAGAAAGAAAGGAATAAGTTTCCCCATGTCTGAACTAAGAAAATTAATGATCTGAATTATAATGAAAAAAGCGAAAGTAAGAGACTTGTACTCCATCCATCCTTTCAATTAACTTAAAAATGAGGAGACTCCTGCTTGGCTCACAGGGACTCACCAGACCATCGAGTTACCGAAGAGTAATTATTTCAGGAAACCAAGATACTTTGGTTCTCAACACCGAGAAACATAGTGACCTGGGTCCAGATCCTGAAAAGCAAATTTTTGATGCATGTGCCTTATCCCAGTAGTAGCTTTTTCATTATCAAAAGATAATGTGAAAAGGAGAATTTTATATCAGTGTTTCTTTTCATTTGAGCTCTTTTTCCTTCAGTGTAAAGGAAAGGTTACACATTCCTCAGTGTCTTGGAACATACTCTGCTTTGACTAGAGGAAGGAACTGGTAGACCTTTCCCACTGCTCTAATCCCGCAGCCTGTGAATCTCAGATCCCTTTGGCCACCTTGAGCCATGCTCCCCATTCCCCTTCTGCAAAACTCCTGTGCAGGAGAAAACCTAGTCAAATCCCCAAAAGTCAGGTCATGGGCAGGATTAAACTCATTTGGTGCTCGCTAGATGGGAGAGTGATAACTTGTTATTGGCATGCACTTGTACTCGCTCACTTTCTGTCTTTCTCATCTAACCATTTCTCTAACCACCTTCCATGGGTACAAAGAGCCTTGGTTCTCCCACTAGCTACCAAATGAATAGACAAATGCCACCCAGAATAGGTTGCAGTTGACCCCCGTCAGTGCTGGAGGATCTGGCCTCCTGCCCCCAAAGCCTCCACCTCCTGCAACCCCTCCAACTGCAGGGTGTTCTAATCCTCTCCCTGGGTCAGGGGGGCCTGGCTACCTGTCATTTTTAATTATTACTGTCATTATAAGTAGGAGTATGCATATAAACAAGGCACTTGGCACTTTCTCATCTCTTTTGCTTCAAGGTTATTCTTATGAGTGTTTCCTTCCAAACACCCAGGAAGAGATTTTGTCTCAAGATAAAGGAGAGGTATTAAGGAAGTTATGTAAACTAGGTCTTATACCAAGCAGTCGTGTGCTCCTCAGGTATGGCCATGTATTTTGTTCCTCTTCACTACAACATTGAGATGGTCTACCTGATATCCCTTAGTTGAGCAGAAAATGCCCTGCTCAGTCCCAACACTGGAAAGATACAGGAATGTGGAATTTTAGCTGGGTCTGCAGAAATTCTCAGGTTCAATCACTGGCCAAGAATCACTTATTCAACATCCACTGAGCCACCACCCCTGCCCCCCTCTGCCACACTGATGGAGAGGACACTCATTCCCAGGAAAGAGAATGGAGAAAGAGCCACTTAGGTACAGGAAAAGCTCATACAGTCTTAGGAAAGTTGATCTTTCCAGAGGCTTCTTCCTGGCTTTATGGAAAGAACCCTGCAGAAAAGAACACAGCTGGCATCCAGATGCTAAACCCAGGGTCTTTTACTCTGTCGCTGCTTTCCCAGGGAACAAAAATAGTTCCTCCTGGACACCCAAGTGGAAAAAAAGGACTTCGTCTGCATTGCAACATGAAAGCTACGTCACGTTCCAAGCATGGAACTAAAAGCTCTGTTGAAAAGAGTCTATGTAATTCTATGTGTCAGTTACTTAGAAACACAGAGTTCCTTTTTGTCACATTTTAATTACACGAGGAAAAAGCAAGAAGTGACAATGGAAATAAACAGCATATTGAAGCAACTCAAGCTCTGTGGCCCAACTTTATAGATGCCACAAAACTCTGTGTTTAGAAGGGACTGTTGAGGCACGGTGGGAGCGTGCTCAGGGAGTGTCCATTGGTTATCTATGATTAAACTCTTAATGCCCCTGTGGTTCCATGCCCTTGAAACCATTATTAGAATGTCAGGCCAAGACAGCACAGTGCTCATAATGCCAAGCACAGTATCTCTGGTGGCATCCCTCTTCTCCCTTCCTGGAGAGCGAAACAGTGACAAGCAGCACAGGGGTGTCAACAAGCTGGAGCAGCAGCCTGCGGGGCACAAGGGAAACAGACACCCCAAGCATCCCTTGGGGCCAGTTCAAGTTCCTGGTGGCCTCTACCCACCTTCCCTCCACCTAGTGCTTTGTCATTCCCAAAGCATCATTTAGATTTGTAAGGTGTAATAGACCATTTACTCCTCTCTTAAACTATTTTTCTGGAAAAGGTGGAAATAAAGGTCTTTGGTCTTTAATCTCACCACAGAACTCCTGTTCTTTTTCCAGAAATGCTCTCCTAGGTCTTCACCAGAACCCTTAAACCATAGCCACTCCACATCCTTAGGGCCCTCCAACCAGCCTGGAAAATGTGTTGTATTAGTGTCCCGAGGTGCTGGGCAGGAAGGTGGCCCTGTCCCATTGTGACCCCCCATTTGATCCTGGAAGAATTGAGGACTGCTCTACACACGCACGTTACAGGTCTCCCACTCCACACTGTCGACTCGCCCTGCTTTTACTGCTAACTGGTCTCTCCATCTGCTTGCTCCTTGTAGGCTGATAGGCCTTTCCAGCAGCATCTCGTCTTAGTCCACCCTCTTGCTGCCCTGTTTTTACCCTCCGTCCTCACACACAGCAACACCCCAGCCCATTGCCCTGCAGATGGCTCTGCACCAACAGGTCCTAAATTAAAATGGTAGCAGGGACAGTCACAAATATCAAATGTTTCTGCCACTATGATCACATTTGCTTGAGAAAAGTCTAACTTTTTAGAGTAAAATGTAAGGCTCCATCTGAACTCACTCTTTGGCAGAGTTACCTCGACTGTGAAAATACACATTTCCTGAATTTGGATTGGGGGCAGATTACCAGCCCCAAAGAGCTTGGAGGTGTGATGGCTTCTCTTCACTCTTGGTGGGCGAATCCTTTTCTTCTCTCCATAAGGCCTCTGTGTCTGTTTTCCTCACTTTGCCCATCTGGGATTCCCAGAGTTGAGAAATCCAGGAAGTCTCCTCTCCTAGTGCTAGGACCTGTCCCAGGAATATCCCTTTCTGAACAAAGATGAAATCAAAGAGACCATGGCCTCTCTGTTCTATCCAAGACTCTTGAAGCTTGTCTATCCTTTTACTCTGCCAGGCTTCAGCTGTTAGACATGTTGGCCTTTGTCCTTTCAGAGCTTCCAGAGAAAAATAGGGTTCTGTTATAGAGCCATCACACAAAGTATGTGGGGTTAATGTACCACTGGCAGGAGGGTGAAGGTGGGGGAGAGATTGCTATCTGGGAAAATGCCAACACCTCCATCCTTTGGTTTTGAATTCACAGCAAAGACATCCCCTTCAGCCTATTACAGTTTCCATTAAAGGCACATGTATTTCTATTCTTTTGCAAATGCTCACAAATCCAAAATTAACTATATACTTGCATTAACAGAAATCTAGGTTTTTATAAGTATTATAATGAACAGTGGAAAAAATTCATCCCATCATCTACATAATCTTTTATAACTTGGGCTTTCCTTGCGAGGTCCTTAAGTTTTATCCTACTGCATATTGTCTTGTTTACTTAGCAGCAAAGACACAGTCATTACCAATCGATCACCACAGACTGGATCTTTCATTCTCGATAAGCCTGAATGTAAGTTCCACCAGTCCATCTTAGACTCACCTGTCTTCTGTTACCTCTTGTCCTTAGAGGCAGTCAGTCCGAAATGCTTTATATAGAGTCCCTGTCCTGCCTCCTCTTTTTAAAAGTGTTGACTCCATCCTCTTATGAAAAGATTTATGGCTAAGTCTTACAAGTTATAGAAATAATCACAATAATTACAAATACTTTGAACTTATACAGGGCTTTATTCAAGAATGTCCTGGCATTTTGCAAACATTAACCAAATAGTTCCCTACCAGACCTTCCTTGGAAGGCAGATCGTAGTTTGTAGATTCATGTTGATGATTTCAATCCAATATTTGCTTTTTTTTTTTTTTCAAAGGTTTTATTTATTTATTTGAGAGAGACACAGCAAGAAAAGGAACACAAGCAGGGGGAGTGGGAGAGGGAGAAGCAGGCTTCCCGCAGAGCAGGAAGCCCAATGTGGGGCTGGAGCCCGATGTGGGGCTCAATCCCAGGACCCTGGGATCATGACCTGAGCTGAAGGCAGATGCTCAACAACTGAGCCACCCAGGCGCCCCCCAATATTTGCTTTTATTTGCACCAGTTTCTAGGAATAAAGGCAGTTAAGAAAAGAAGGAAGGAAGGAAGGGAGGGAGGGAGGAAAAAATTGAATTTGGAATGTCAAAAAATGCATTCTTGATCTGTATTTCAGGCAAGCATAACCACACCTTAGGCTGAATAATGCTCTTTTATATACGTCTAGTACATACAGTTTGTTCCTAAATGTCTACCTCAATAAATACTTAGAGGTTTTTTATGAAGTTTCCAGGAAGGACTCTTTGCCTTAGATTGCCCAAGGGATGAGTTTCATAACTACAAGAGGGAACCCTTTCTATCACCAACCACACCCTTTGCCCCATTTCTACTGAATGACTTGATTTTCCCCCAACACAGCCCCAACGTTTGCTCTATGCCTTCTTCCTACAGGCTCTTACCCGTGCCTGAAATGCCCTTAGGGACAGGGACTGTGTCTCATTTGTCTTTATAACCCCACCACCTAACACCCTGCCTGACACATAGGAGATACTCAATAAACCCCGTGGAATAGGGCGCCTGGGTGGCTCAGTTGGTTAAGCAACTGCCTTCGGCTCAGGTCGTGATCCTGGAGTCCCGGGATCAAGTCCCGCATCAGGCTCCCTGCTAGGCAGGGAGTCTGCTTCTCCCTCTGACCCTCCTTCCTCTCATGCTCTCTGTCTCTCATTCTCTCTCTCTCTCAAATAAATAAATAAAATCTTAAAAAAAAAAACCCGTGGAATAAATGGCTTGCTCATTGCTAATTTGTTTATAATCTCCTCTGCGTCCTCTGCCTTCTCCCCCTGCTGCCACCCTGCCATAACTAGAATGTAAGCCCTGATCACTGACCTCGGCTGCCTCATTATGACTGAGTCCTCAGAGCCCAGATCAGAGCCTGGCACATTATGGGTGTTCAGTAAATATCTGTTGAATCAGTCAAGGCATGCAGAATTCCTACAACCTCACCCACCAAGATTCAGATCGGGTCCCCAGCGCCAGGTCCTGGGGTAAGCTTGCTTTGCTCATGTCCCATGCAGCCCTGTGGATATTTCTATCACTGTACCTGTGACACTTTTTTTTTTTTTTTTGGCGGGGATTGGTGTCTGGTCAGCCTGAAAACAACATGAGAGCAAAGACTGGGTCTTTTTTCCTATATTCCCTAAATGGCACATAGGAGATATTCAATAAATGTTTCTGGCAAGAATAAACAAATGAATTAAAAGATACTTATGATGCGGGAGATCACTGACCGGTTGTTTGCGGCTTAGACTTTGGGGATTAGGATTTTGTTGCTCTCTATCAATAGCTGAGATGATGAAGTAAGGACCAGGGCACTGTCATCAAGGATCCAGACCTGGACACCCAGGGAGTTCCTGACCTTTAAATTTGGGGAGGAGGATATGAGAATTGGGGTTTCCTCTCTGTTGTTGGCAGAGTTGGAATAAAAAGCAGAATAATAATGTGCCCCATTAAAAACCATATCCCTACCCAAAACTGGAACCCTCTCTCTTTATTTTGTCTAGCACACACCAACAACTAAAATGTATTACAGTGCGAGGAAATGTGGGAACACCCTGACACCATCTGTAAAAGCACCATGTCACCAGGGCTGATCTAACCCAGTGCCCATGTTCATGTCCTAGAAGGTTCTCGCTGGTGGGCGGCCAGGATGTTGCCAAGCAACAGCTCCGCAGAAATGATGCCTATCTAAGCCTCAGGCTTATTCAGTCCTCAGCCAGTCTGCATATGGACACTTCCTTCCAAAAACCTGGTGTACATCAGTAGGGGAGGTGGTGGGGGTATCGAAAAAAGCTTGCTGCACTTAGACTTAAGTGAGGCTAAACAGAAACAGCTCAAGATATTCCCTGTCCTGCCCCCAGAGCCAGGCGAGCAGAGAGAGCCCTTACAATTCTGATGCCAATTCTGACCTGTTTTTTTTTTCTCTTTCCCATACCAGGCAATTCTGTGACACCAGCTGGGTGTCCTACAATTCAACTCAATTCTGACACTGTCTACCTGGAGACAACATCAGATCGCAGGTTCACGGCTCAGTCCTAGGAGACTGCCCCCATCCCACGTCAGACACCAATCACAAGACCAGGTTGTCACCTGTGCTTCTGACTGACAGGCTATAAATCTGAGGTTCTGAAGACCTCCCCTTGGGGTCAATTAATTTGCTAGTGGCTCACAGAACTCAGAGAAACTTTTTTTCTTTTTTTTAAAGATTTTATTTATTTGACAGAGAGAGGCACAGTGAGAGAGGGAACACAAGCAGAGGGAGCAGGAGAGGCCGCCCACTGAGCAGGAAGTATGACGCAGGGCTCGATCCCAGGACCCTGGGATCATGACCGGAACCGAAGGCAGACGCTTAACGACTGAGCCACCCAGGCACCCCTCAGAGAAACTTTTTATAGTGACTAGGTTACTGGTTTGTTGTAAAAGGATATAACTCAGGAACAGCCAGATGGAGGGGATTTGTAGGGCAAGGTATGGGAACAGGTATGGACCTTCTGTGCTCTCTCCAGACACACTACTGTCCCTGAATCTCCATGTTCACCAACCCTCTCCTCTTGGGTTTTTCTTATGGAGGCATTACTTAGCCATGACTGATTAAATCACTGGTCATGGAGCTTGAACTCAATCTCCAGCCCCTCTCCCCTACCCAGAGGTTGAGTGGGTTGGTGGGGGGACTGAAAATTCCAACCCTTTAATCACAAATTAGTGTCTCCTACCCCTCAACCCAGGCCCCATCCTCTGGAGCTTTCCAAAATCCACCTCATTAACATAATAAAAGGCATCTTTATTGTTCTTATCCGTTAGGAAATTCCAAGGATTTTAGGAGCTGTGTACCAGGAATAGGGATGAAGACCAAATACATATTTGTTGTGGTTGTTTTAGTAATCCAGTGGTGTCTTTATAAGAATTGGAAGAGATACCAAGATGCATGCACGCAGAGAAAAGGCCATTTGAGGACACAGCGAGAGGATAGCCATCTGTAAGCCAGGAAGCAAGGGCTCAAGAGAATCCCAACCAGCCAACACATTGATCTTAGACTTTCCAAAATGTGACAAAAATATATGTATGTTGTTGGAACCCAAATATATATATATATATATATATATATATATATATATATATATATATATATATATATATATATATATTTTTTTTTTTTTTTTTTTAGGATTTTATTTATTTATTTGTCAGAGAGAGAGCACAAGGAGGGGGAGCAGCAGGCTCCCCTCTGAGCAAGGAGCCCAATGCGGGACTCAATCCCAAGACCCTGGGATCATGACCTGAGCTGAAGGCAGCTGCTTAACCGACTGAGCCACCCGGGCATCCCGCAAATACATATTTCTTATTACAAATCACAAAAATATACTCCCTTACCTCACTCCCACCCCAGCCTTTCTTCACAGACACAGAATCTTCTCAGTTTGGGTTTGTGCCTTAAATGAATTTAGCTTTCTTACTCTTACATTAAGGCTGGGTTCTGCGTAGTATCCCTCCAAAGGAGCACAAATCAATTGACAAAAGCCCTGAGAACAAATAGATAGCTTTACAGGAAATTACATTGAGAGGTACCAAAAGGAAAATCATTCTGTACATCACCCAACTTCCTAAAAATCCTCTTTGCCCGTCTATCTCTCCAAAGTTTCAGAAAGTGTCTGCTCCCAACCATATTATTCCTTCTTAGAATGTCTCCTAAACAATATCCTTTTCCCCATCCTTCTCTCCTCCTGGTACCTCTTGGCATTTTCTAATACCCCAGTAAAATAATAAATATTACAAGATTCTGTTGCATATAGGTTGAAAGCATTTATTGAGCATATTATGGAGTGTCCTGATTGGATGGGGTCCTGGCAGCATGAGTGGTGAAAGAATTCACCCAAGAAAGAACAAAGGAGATAGAAGTTTATTGAATACACTGCAAGGGAGCAGTGAGCAGGATAGCAAAGGAGAGACTGTCTGCCAGGAGGAGGTGGTGAGGGGCCACAATCATAGGACAGGGTGAGGGGGTATGGGGGCATATGGAATTTTCCCTTTTTTGGTAATCTTAGGAACTGTGTTTGGTTATAATTGGCCGGTTAGGGCCTCTGGTTATTTCAAGGTGGGTTGCTCAATGAGCCTGTTTGTATCAGTTCTGTTGCTGTGGGCCCTTTTGCCTTGATCAGGTTTCCATTGCTCAAGTCTCCTGCCTAAAAGTGGCCTCTATACATCTCAGAATCTGTTGCAAATGTCATCTCTTTTACTCCTTACTTAAATATCTGAGTTGACAGATGAGGAAAGTACCTTGCTTGGGAATGGAGGGACTGAGTTAAGAACCCAGCTTCTCTCTTCCCCAGGATGCTGCCTAAGGTAGCATTCAGCTCAAAATTCTGGGCCATCTCTTTTAGGCAGGTGTTTCCCAGACTCCTATTTCTTCAGTCTCCTTCAGTCCTGAGTGGAGCTACTGTCTTTGGCTGCTATTCATGTCTCTGAGAAATGGCTTCTCATGGACCCTGCCAATTCTATGATGACTTCCAACTCCTCTCCACTGTACCTGGGTCTTCCAACCCTTAGAATCCTAGTGGTCTGAGGGAGCATTGTCTATAAACCCTCCTGGACACTGCAGAAAAATAGCCGATTTATGTTTTAAAAGTATCCTCTGGCTGCCAATTAGATTAGAGGTGAACAAGAATTGAGAGATATTGCAGAAGACCACATGAGAGATGGTGGTTGCACTAGGATGTGTGTAAGAGAAAGGACTAGATGAAGAGGATGAGGGAAAGAGAGAGGGCATACGCAACTAGCAGAATGGTGCTGAGTCTGGAATGTTAAGAGATGGAACAGCTTTGTGAAAGAAGACTAAGAATTGAGTTTTAGACATTGGAATTTTGCAACATGATTTTTCTCAGGAACTGCCCCTTCTTCAATTCTCCTATAACATAGGTGAGGACCATGAGAGTAGCCATTTGTAACTTGACCCTGCCTCTTAGCCATAGTCTCTTGGACCAGGGATGGGAAAATAACCTGAACTGGACCAGGAGGCAACATGGAACCAAGAGAGAGATGTGATAATTTCTCTCCAAATTGCTGAAACCAAGGACATGTAGATTTGATATCTGTTAGTAGTTTAGAACAGGGGTGGGTAAACTGCAGCCCAAGGGCCACTGCTTGTTTTATAAATAAAATTTTATTAGAATACAGCCATGAAAAAAAAAAAAAAGAATACAGCCATGGACATTCATTTACATATTGTCTATGACTGTTTTTGTGCTACAATGGATAGAGGTGAGTATTTGTGACAGAGACCACATGGCTCACAAGTCTACCTGAGCCTTTAAGAAAAAGCTTGCCAAGCCCTGGTCTAGGATCTCCATTTGGTCGGAGGAACTAAAACAAAAAAAGCACCTAGAGTGAAAAATGAAGTAGCTGCACAGGAGGAATGAATAAGGAATCATTGAAGAGAGTCCTGACAACATCCTAAACCAAAGTTCCAAATGACCTTGAGGTCCAACCACATTCCTGTTCTCAAGTTCAGTTGTGATACCTCAATTGAATTATATTAAATTCCTCTTTTTATTTAAAGTAGTTAGAGTTAGGATAATGATATCTGCAACTAAATGGTACTATTATTTAATTTACCCACTTATTCATCTCTCATTCATTCATTCATTCATTCATTCATTCAAAAATCGTATAAAGAGTTTGTTCTGTGGTCAGGCATGATGCTGGGAATGGGCCACACAGTGGTGAACAGCACAGCTATGGCCCCTGCCCTCATAAAGCTTATATTCTAATATAATGAGTTAGGTTTCAGGTGCCTGTGAGACATCCAAGTAAAGATGTCACAGTGGCATTTGGAGACCAGAGTGAGGCCTGGATTGATGACTATAAATTTGGGAGTCATTGCCATACAGAGGAAGGCAGGGAAATAGAAAGCATTGCTTAGGAAGAAAGTGTTAAGTGAGAATTGAAGTATGTCCCTGAGGAACCCCAATATTTAGGGATTGAGTAGAGGAAAAACAGCTGGCAAAGGAGCCCCAATAGGAGAGACCATAGAGGAGGGGAGAACCAGTAGAATATTGTTAAAAAGAAACAACAGGTCCAAAATGGAGTCGCTTATGTTAAGCCTCATCAAGACTTAATACCTAACCTAATTGCAGTTTCAGCCTCTCCAGGAGTAGAATTTTAAACCAGCCAGTCTGGAATTTCCCTGATCTGCATTAATGGGGTCATCTGCATGATAAGACCCCCTGCTCTTTTCCCTCAGGGAAGGTAACCTGGCCTTTTTTTTTTTCTTTTGCTAATTATTTCCTTGTCTCACCCCTTTCTGCCTATAAAAGCCTTCCATTTTATGCAACTCCTCAGAGCACCCTTCTATTTGTCAGAGAGAATTCTGCCAGCTTCATGAATTGTTGAATAAAGCCAATTAGATCTTTAAATTTACTCAGTTGAATTTTTGTTCTTTAACGGTATGATATCACGGAAGCCAAGGAGTTAGTGGTATCTTTGTCAAATGCTGTTGAGAAGATGAGACAAAAGAGATTATAGCATTTAGCTACATGGAAGTCACTCAATACCAGACAAGAGTAATCTTTTTTTTTATTCTTATGTTAATCCCCATACATTACATCATTAGTTTTAGATGAAGTGTTCCATGATTCATTGTTTGTGCATAACACCCAGTGCTCCATGCAGAATGTGCCCTCCTCAATACCCACCACCAGGCTAACCCATCCTCCCACCCCGCTCCCCTCTAGAACCCTCAGTTTGTTTTTCAGAGTCCATCATCTCTCATGGTTCGTCTACCCCTCCGATTTCCCCCGTTTCATTCTTCCCCTCCCGCTACCTTCTTCTTCTTCTTCTTTTTTTTTCTTAACATATATTGCATTATTTGTTTCAGAGGTACAGATCTGTGATTCAACAGTCTCACACAATTCACAGCGCTCACCATAGCACATATCCTCCCCAGTGTCTATCACCCAGTCACCCCATCCCTCCCACCCCACCCCCCACTCCAGCAACCCTCAGTTTGTTTCCTGCAATTAAGAGTTCCTCATATCAGTGAGATCATATGATACATGTCTTTCTCTGTTTGACTTATTTCACTCAACATAATACCCTCCAGTTCCATCCACGTTGTTGCAAATGGCAAGATCTCATTCCTTTTGATGGCTGCATAATATTCCATTGTATATATATACCACATCTTCTTTATCCATTCATCTGTCAATGGACATCTTGGCTCTTTCCACAGTTTAGCTATTGTGGACATTGCTGCTATAAGCAGCGGGGTGCACGTACCCTTTCGGATCCCTACTTTTGTATCTTTGGGGTAAATACCCAGTAGTGCAATTGCTGGGTTGTAGGGTAGCTCTATTTTCAACTTTTTGAGGAACCTCCATACTGTTTTCCAGAGTGGCTGCACCAGCTTGCATTCCCACCAACAGTGTAGGAGGGTTCCCCTTTCTCCACATCCCCGCCAACATCTGTCGTTTCCTGACTTGTTAATTTTAGCCATTCTGACTGGTGTGAGGTGGTATCTCATTGAGGTTTTGATTTGGATTTCCCTGATGCCGAGCGATGTTGAGCACTTTTTCATGTGTCTGTTGGCCATTTGGATGTCTTCTTTGGAAAAATGTCTGTTCATGTCTTCTGCCCATTTCTTGATTGGATTCTTTGTTCTTTGGGTGTTGAGTTTGATGAGTTCTTTATAGATTGTGGATACTAGCCCTTTATCTGATATGTCATTTGCAAATATCTTCTCCCATTCTGTCGGTTGTCTTTTGGTTTTGTGGACTGTTTCCTTTGCTTTGCAAAAGCTTTTTATCTTGATGAAGTCCCAATAGTTCATTTTTGCCCTTGCATCCCTTGCCTTTGGCGATGTGTCTAGGAAGAAGTTGCTTCGGCTGAGGTCAAAGAGGTTGCTGCCTGTGTTCTC